ATCTTTGAAACAATCTTCTTTTCCACCCCCCCCCCCTCTCGACTTTTTTTCACTCTGATGTTCCTTCCCCTCTGTGGAGCCTGAAGTCTACTAAAGGGCTAATGATAACTATCAAAACGCTTGCCATTTGATGTAAATAAATAAACATTATAAGGCAAGCAAAGACCATAAAAAGTACATTTTTCATACTGCGTGTCCAGAAAAGCGTCACAACCATAGTGGGGAAAAGGGAGGGAGAAAAGTGAGTACCCTTAAAATCTCGAATATAAAAAGGAAGGTGAGACATAGAAAGACACGAAAATATTAAATAAAGTAATGTTAATTTTGCTTGCGCTTATCCTCGCCACTGCTGTCATTCGTCGTTGACACACATAATCTCGGAAACCATCCTTTAATGGGAACTGTAAAAGCAAAGGCTTAAATATAATCTATGAATGCACAAAGAAGGACAAAATATTGATACGCACCTTTAGGGAATTGGACATCATTGTTTTGTGGTGGAGGCATAACTTGTCCATAGTACCAATATCTGAAAATGGAAAAGTAATCAGAGTATACGCTAGTTTTATTTATGCGGGAAGAAGAATTGCATTTCTCACTTGTTAGATCTTGACACGAGAACCACGTCACCAGTACTCACAGCGACACGGCCCTCACCACTACACGGTGGACAAAAAAGTGTTCGGCAGCCAAAAGTCACAGGCATAATACTGCCTGAATAGGATCGCTTAATAATCAATAAAACAGATGATTTGGTCTTATGAGCCTTCTGCTGCAATTGTTCAACCTACAAGAGCAAAAAATGCAAAAAATAAGGCTCATAGACAAGACGAAAATGCAACACAAAAAAACTGGAATATAACCAAAGAATTCTCAGTTTGTCACACAGTGACAACCATGTGTAACATCGGTTATTGTGTGAAACTATGGCAATCTATTAGACTATTGAAATATACAGAAGCTTAAGATAATTAATATGAGATTTAAATAAAATATGGGTTGGAACTTGCAGTTAGATCATATGTACCACATCCTGGTCTTAGAGGCCAAACGTAACCATCTCCAACTGGATTTCCAGACAAACTTATGACCTTAAAAAAATAACAGTAATGGAGTATTCCAGGTAGGAGTGATTTCAGAGCAACATACTTGTCGAAGATTTGTCCTCCAACCTAAATCATAGGGGAAAACCATCTCTTTAAGATCGAGGTCGTACTCTCGCCGATGGTGAGCCTAAAGTTGATAAAATGAACAAAGTTAAGTAGATTCAACTGATCGATAAGATGATATTTCGTAAGGCACTGCAAATGAAAATGAACTAGATCAAAGTAAATTCCTTGTAAGCCTACAGTTAATAACGACAGAAAAGGGCACCAATTTTGGACAGATTATTTTGAGATCTCGTTCATAACTTGAATGCAATGCTAGACTCCTAGTAATTAAATAAAGTGTCATAGACAATGGGAATTGTATATTAAAAAATCGATTGTTTTGCCTACCTTTGTCATGATCCAATCCTCGATAACTGTTCTATTGCGAAGAATACCTCGAATTTGACAATATGCCAAGCCACCAACGGCTATGACAACTCCAAAACCAACACCAAGGCCTATAACCACGAGAATAATCTCATAGAAACTAAATATCATCCGGTGATCATGTACATCCCGAAATATACTAAAAAACTAAGAAGAGAAAGTGCTACAGCGAGGGCCGATCTGGCAAAGAGCAGGCAAGTTGAAAAGAATACAATTTACTCGAGTAAAAACGTAGTAGATTCGGTAAGTGCAGAGAGTGGAGCTATATAGACATCCGATCGGTGCGGATATCACAAAATTTAGAAAATGACTGTGGTTTAAGTACCCTACGCAGGTGTTAATCCATGGACAATGGTGATCCATTTTGAGCACACATCTGCCACAAGCTTTACAATGGTGAGATCTAGGAGCTTTATATCCGTCACAGATTCGACAGTATTGCAGAGAGGTCTGATCTTTAGGATCTTTCTACAAGTATATACATCCATTAAAGGAGCACATTTAATAAGAGGATAAATTCTAAACAAATGTCGAAAACATACCGGCTTCCAACCCAGCTCAACAAAACCTGGGCCATACCAGGCAGATAGGGCATAACTTCGAAAAATGAAGATTGATAGTGAACAGTAGAAAAATAAGCTGATATAGGTAAATGATTTCCAGACATCCACAAGGGTAGAAAAATGAATCCATAATCCAATTAAGGTTAGATAAATTACTATACCCATCCCAAAAATTGGACCTGGGTGAAGAATTCGTTTACATTTAGACGTAAAAGTTTTACAGACAGAATCATTAAGAAGGAAAGACCTAGTCATCCGTGAATTAAAAACCCAAAAGTATACAAACACAGCAGTCAAAAGAGTGCTGCGAAATAAAAAGTCGTTTTGGCTATTTTAACTGTATAACATGAGGTAAAGGTTAATGTAAACGTTAACAAAGTGATAAATAATGAAAATAAATAATTATTGAAATAAATTTTGAATTTAATTGTTCATACGAAATTATTTATAATATTTAAGGCCTATTTCAATTCATCAGATGGAAAGGACGATATTTGATAAAATGTTAACTCTATTCTTTGTAAAAAATGGCAATTTATGTAGATAGAAAACTAAGAAAAGAGTTTTATGAAATTTAATGGAGAATTATACAAAGCAAGTAAAAGCATTTGACTAAACCGTTAATATCTCTTATAACAAATTCGTTATTGCTATCCATGGCGGGACGTCCCAACCCCAATCTCCATATGAGATAAGTATCAATCATAATGAGTTCTTTGGCTAACAAATTTGACTGAAGCATAAAAGGATCTCGCCGTGGAGGTTCCATCATGCTTCTTCTCAATTGTAATGCAGTCGTAAATAGTAAATGGAGTAAGAATTGATCCATTAAAAACTAATTTGTTAAATTTTAAAATTGCAAACCTTTGTTTAAGTTTAAAGATCTCGTGTTGATTTGAAAGACATCGAAGACAAATCAAAGATTTTCCAAATAACTAGATATTAATTACTGAGCCTATATAATTAAAACTTTTGTAAGGTGACGAATTACTAACAATTAGTTTTTTGCTCTTCTAGTTTCATTTATATATTAATGCGTTGTAACATTTATTAAGAAGAAAAGAGAACAGGATTGCAATTTGGCCCCATAAGAAATTCAAATAATACTCAACTAAAACGTTCAGTTGGTAGTTATACCTACTACACCTACGAAAATTGGTCATATAATGGTTTCATATTTGACGAAACATAAAGAAGAATTTCCTAAGCCAATTCCATACTTTAACACTTTGTTGTTTGCATATATTTATTAAAAATCACTGTGTTATAATATTAGACTGCAAGTTAGATTTTCAACTGTACTTCGTGGGTATTTGTGACAATATAGTGCGCAATTTAAAACCCATATAATCAAAAGATTTCGAATCCAAGAATTTATTTGAAACTAATGCATTTAAAATATCATTGATCCTATGAATAGTCCTGGGTTTCAATTATGGGCGGTTGTGTAATCTTCGTAATAAAGAGAGATTAATTCTGAACCTACACAAATCATTGTTCTTATGAATGGCGAGCACTAGAGAAGAAGAACAAAACTAAAACATAGGACTCTTTACTCGGCTTGAGTTTTTGCGCATATTTTTTATCAGTCTGATCGTGAAAAAAGTATATGAGCAAAGCGATTGAATTAGAAGTCGCTTTTAATAAAGCAGCTTGAAACATTTGCATTCATAGAATAATTTCAGCAAAAATGGTTGAATTCACGTGAAAACATGCAAAACTCAATTACCTGAATAATTTATGTGAAATGATATTGTTCTCAATCGATCTTGTTTGTCGTTGTATTATTGTCTGTGTAATCTTTAAAAGGCCCACTTGAAGGTCATTATCCGAACGTTAGCTGTTGTGTGTTGGGGAATGTTTGAAAGTTGTTTTCATGCCTTAATATCCAATTTAATATATTTTTATTCATTTAGCCAGTCTTTTATAGCATTTCAAGGATGAAATCAGTTTCGGAAGATCGGTTGCAAAGAAAGAAACGTCTTTTCGAATTTTACGGTCCGAAGTCAAAGCCAGGTGCAGAATTAGAAGAATTACCTAACGATCCAACTAATATCGATTCATCGGAATTTGATGCCAGGATTTATATGAATAACCTCTTAAGCAAGTCAGATCTAAACGATTTAGTGGCTAAAGAGACAGAGATTTGCGATCAAATTAGAACTTTGGATTCTGAAATGCAAACACTAGTTTACGATAATTATAACAAATTTATCAATGCAACTCATACTATTAAAATGGTATGATGATGAAATTTTCGGCATAAAAGTATGTGCTTTAGATGAAAGCAGATTTCAAATACATTGAAGGTGAAATGAATTCTCTTGCTGAAAGCATGCTTGAAATTAGGCTCTTTTCGAGTGATATTGACAATGAGCTTCGTGATATTAGAACGTCTACGAAAAAGTTGATGACAACCGCAGATAATCTTCAAAAGGTATGTGAAATTCGCAAAAATGTTATCTTTCATTTCTCTCTAGCTCGAATATCTATCATCTTTACCTTCTAAAATTCGTCAATTTACCAAAAAGGAGGAATGGGCTAAGGCTGTAGATGCCTACGTCAAAGCGAAAGCTTTCTTCGATAGGCATCGACACGTTCCTTCCTTCCGTGGTATCTACAATGAATGCACTGATCTCATTGATGAGATAATAAATAAAGTTGAAGATAAACTAAATTCGGTGGTATGTCTCCACTCTGTCTTATGACTTCGTTCGCCTTATTTAGGAAGATCCACAGACCTTGAACTCTTTAATTGAGGTCCTGTACCAATTTGGACAAACACCATATGAGTTAGCCGAAAAATTTCTCCATGTGTAAGTCGCAATACATGTTGGGTTTCTAACATTTTGGTTATTAACATTTTCTCAAATCTGGCTTGTTGCAGAAGAAGGCTTGATAAGATTTAACTAAATATGCTGATTCCCTCTTAAAAACGTTTATTTGGTTTAAACTATTTTTTTCATATAATAACCAAGATTTTAAATTAGTAGATGCTATTTTTGATTCCAGGTTTGCTTATTAATTCACCATTGCAAATATGAAAAAACGCAATTTTCTACTACATATTAGTCTCCTTTTCAGTGCCTTATTATAACCCTAAAGTATTGATTATGATAATTTATATTTGTAATTCTTTTTATATTAGAGCGTCACATCGGTCGGATATACTTTTAGAAAATTTGGCCACTTCGCATCCATCGAATAGCTTAGAAGTGAGTTTCTATAATTTTATCACTTAATAAAATATATTATCTTTTATTATGTTTCTTTTTCTTTTCAGGGTATCTTGGCTTTTGCTAATGCTGCATCAGATATCATTTCTGAAGGCGTTATGTCTTACGTCTTCACCTATTCCAGCCGGTTCTTGAGCAACCGATCTATTGAGTAATTTTAATTAGACTTCTATTCTACTGCCAGAATTTGTGAGAATATGGTCAAACTTTTTCTTCTTTTCAGCGATGATCAAGTGGATGAAGACTTAGAGACCAGGTTATTTGATTTCCTCCAAGGTGTAACCACCAAATTTCTGACTTTCATAAACGCAGAGTTGCAAAGTCGTGTTGATTCGACAGAAATTGAGCTTCTCGTTCGAGCACTTGAGCGTCTCTACTCACGCTTGATGGCTTTTGGTCGAAGTGTGTTGGAAGTGGTTGTACCGCCAAATCAATCTCCATCCCTGTCGTCGAATGAATTCAAGAAGCATCTTGACGAAGCAACATTGAATATGGTCCTGGTTGTTGCTGAATATTGCTGTCGGAAGAAACAATTCCAAACTCTTAGACTTCAAACGGCAGACTGCTTGACAGATGTTCGGCAAAAGCTTGTCACTTCTGTTTGCTTGAAACCTAAAAAAGAGCAAGTTCTTGTGTTGTTTTTAGTTACATTTAAACAACTCTGGTAGTTATAATTGTGACTGCAGATTGGCACATGCATTTTTTTTCTCTGTGGAATATATGGCCACTTTAAGATGCATTCTAATTTTATTATATATTGCAAGATAAATTTCAACTTCTAACAGGATCTATTCTTTCTATGCCGGTGAGTCAATGCTCAATCTCTGGGTAGTTTTTCATCAACTAAGTTTCTGGAATTCATTTTAAAAGTATGTTTTCCATAGATATGGGAGATATTAATAGTATTCACTTCGTCTTCTAACATGGCAGTATTCTATTTACCCGATAATGTAGGAGACACATTGGTATAGGATCAGTACTTCTAAAAATATTCTCATAGCCAATGACTACACTGCATTTACTTCAAAGGTTCTCATCTATTAGAACTTTAGCTGTCTTGATTTCAATCCCTTAATTGGGTTTCCCTCTGTTATGCATTGGTCACACGAAGGTGTCAGTATAAGTGCTAGATCCTATAGCAGAATAACTCTACCATTAATTATTTCTCCTTTTTTTATCGCAAGATTTTAGTACCTTAAAGTTACTTTTTGTATTTGTTTAATGTCTTTCTATCACTTATTTTTTTATCAATGAATTATAGTGGTGGTGAAGGCGATAATCAAACTCTGATGGAAATTTACGACGAAATGAGTCGAGTTCTGGCCACAAGTCTTCGTGCTTGCCTTAAATCTGTTGAGGTATTTCAGCAACATTTAAACAGCCCCCCACCCCGTCCCTTTATTTTTTAGTAAAATCTCTTCTTGCACTTCCTATATTTAGCCATTTTTATCGGCTGAAAATAGCTTTTCTCACCTCCAACTATTTCGTGCCACATTTTGCCTCGATTACGTCCGAGAAGGCATTGTTACCGCCTATCTCCGATTCTTGATTCAATTTTGTGAAGATCTCTCAAAGGTATATCTCACATTGTTGTTATTGGTGCATTTTGGTGTTTGTTTTTTCTTACTAGCCTTTACATCTCTTTCTCCTTATGCTAGTTTACGCCCTCTAGCGTTCCTGGTTGTCTAATTCTACTGATGGGCAAGTTGTGTCTCGAATGGGCGAATTCTGGAACCATCGGCCATTTGTTGAATACTGCTGATGAATTTCTCATGTTTGGCCAACCAAAATGTAAGTACTTCAACCGCAGTTGATTCTTGGAGTAACTTTTTTTATAAAACGTGTGATTGTAATTACCTGTGTGATGTCACCTAATAGCAATCAAAGTTTACAAAACCAACGATCTTTTTTCATTGTTTCTTTTATATTTATTTTATTGACAAATTTTATAGTATTTATTTTTCTTACCATTTACACTTGTTCTCATTTTAAGCTTAGCTATTTATCCCTTGTTTTTACGAGTCTTGCGTCTAAACACTTCTCAAGATTTTGGAAGATTTTTGATTTTTTGAACTCGATAATAGTAGGCCTTTTGTCGATACGAATTTCCCTTGCCCAAACGAACAAACCCACTAGCTTACAATGTTAAAATATCTTGGGGGGGGGGGGGGGGGCACTTCAAATGTAAAGTTTTTGTACTTTGAATATCTGGTTTATTGAATAAGCTAATTATTCTAGCTGTTGTCTTAATGCAACTTATTAACTAACCCTAGGGGGCTGTGAATTATTACCTCTAACAGGGGCTGCGGAGAATTATTCCTTATATCAATAATACAACTGACAAATTTTAAAATTGCCAAGTTACTTCACAGATTCGGTGTGCATTCGTTACTCGAAATAATCGGAAACACTGGTATTGATAGAATTTTAGCGTTTCATTGTAACGTCTCCGAGATTCCACACCCCTTTCGGAAATCTCTTTTCTCAACGCGCTTGAGAAATAGCATTTCTACATAGGTTGGCAGTTTCATTAATACAATATTATTATTATGGGGTGTGCGATAGACCTACCTCCACGTGGTGCACCCTGGGCAACGTATACTCATACACCTCCACGTGGTGCACCCTGGGCAACGTATACTCACGATAGACTTACCTCCAGGTGGTGCACCCTGGACAACGTATACTCAAACGGCACGTGGTGCACCCTGGGCAACGTATACTCATACGGCTCCACGTGGTGCACCCTGGGCAACGTTTACTCATACGGCTCCACGTGGTGCACCCTGGGCAACGTATACTCATACAGCAGTTAACTTCTGACTTCAAACAACCATGACATATTAACTGGCAGTTAACTTCTGACTTCAAACAACCATGACACCACTGTATGTCATATTCGACTACTTCCACAGTACTCATTTCACCTTTGTGTCTGTCTATTCCATCCCCCCCCCCTCTCGACTTTTTTTCACTCTGATGTTCCTTCCCCTTTGTGGAGCCTGGAGTCCACTAAAGGGCTAATGTCAACTATCAAAACGCCTGCCATTTGATATAAATAAATAAATATTATTATTATTATTATATGATTTCAGGACTTTCGAGATACCTTTGCATATGTGCTTTTTGATCTTTCAGCGTCCTATTCAATGGAATCACATCAACAAAAGGCAATTCAACAAATGCTAGCCACTCGTACCCAGCCTCTGACTCCAGCGGGTCCTTTGGCTGAGGAATTCCGCACCACTTCAACACGTCTCTTGACAGTCTTCACCAAGTTTGAGGGTGCTCAACTAGCCCACATGATGCGCAAGTCGATGGAAGCACGCTTTTGGCTGCGTTGTCCGGAACCCCGCACAGTAAGATCGGTCATCAGACGTGTTCTTGAAGATCTGGCAAATATTGATTATCAGGTAAAATCAACCGAATTCTCGTTGTAACGCTTAAGCCTCCCAAAATGTCCTACTAGAATCGAAACTCAATAATTACACGGGATCGTCATGTTATAACAGTGACGATGTTTTTTATTATTTCAGAGTAAAGCCTACCATTACGCTTTCCATTACTTCCTCCAAGCGCATTCTATTTAACTGATCAGATTGATTTTTGGAAACCAACTGAACTACTTTCTTTTCAATGTGCCTAGTACATTATATCCATGGTGGTAGTGACTACTAAATCTCAAGTGCTATTCATAGTTATACCTAATATTTTAGGTCTGTTGTATAATGTATTTTTTGAGCACTGGAATTATATGTGATCGTTTTTGGGGCACAACTACCGAATTTTATTGAGATGAAGGGAAAGAGCCAGTTTTATACATATTTTTTGCATGCTCTTCGAGCCTTTTGAATTTGTCAGAGATTCACTCTTTTGTTATGTCAAGTAGTAGTAGTAGTAGTAGTAGTAGTAGCAGTCAATATGAGTATTATTTATATTTATTTATATCAAATGGCAGGCGTCTTGATGGTTATCATTAGCCCTTTAGTTGACTTCAGACTTCACAGAGGGGAAGAAACATCAAAGTGAAAAAAAGTCGAGAGAGGGGAGGGAAGAGAAGAGTGTTTCAAAGATGTAAAAGAGACAGACACAAAGGTAAAAAAGGTGAGGTGAGTACTGTGGAAGAAGTCGAATATGACATATAGTGAGGTGATGGTAGCTTGAAGTGAGAAGTCAACTGCCCATTGATAGACTTTTTTGCCGTATGAGCATACGTTGCCCAGGGAGCACCACGTGGAGGTAAGTCTATCCCACACCCCGGAGTCATAATATCCGTGAAAACGATCGGATGCCCTTCAAGGGTGCCATTAAGTTTATTTCACAAAAGAAAAGGAATTTTACGCACGTTGCTAGCTTAGCTTCAATTAGAAAGTTAACTGATCAGGCATTAAATTTCATGATATTCTCCACAGGTTTTGAGAGGCATCGCAGGTAACGATACCTTTCATTTACTTCCATTAAAATTTCCGTTTTTGCAAGCACTTATATACAATAATTCATGCAATTTATATCGAAGAATACGCTCCAAGTTGATTCCGACGGGGAATGCAAAAGGCTGAAAGTTGGACTGAATGATCCTTTCGAAAGGAGACACCAGCAACAAGGAGAACTTCAAGCAAGGAGGCAGATTTCATTATAATATTTTCATGCGAAGCGGAAATGAATCACTTAAAAAGAAACAACTGAGTGCATTTAACAATTTATGGCGAACTCCTGCGTGAGGATCTTTTAATAATCCAATATTTTGATGTAAATAACGACATTCTCTAGAAAGTTTAAATACTTTATCTGAATTAACATCTTTGACAGATTGAAGTGACTAAAAGCTGTCATTCTATATTAACTATAATTAATTAAGACCAAATTATGATTTAAAATGTTACCAATGTCTAAGTCATGAAATGAAAAGCGATATTCGAAGAGTATTTTTTGAATCAATTTATCATCTAATTAATGATGTAGTGAATAGTGCTGTTTGTTAAATAAAGATATTATCCGACTTATCCAGGTGTCCAATTCAAACTGCGGGCATTAATGAAACTTGGAAACTTGATGGAACAAAAATTCTAATGAAACCATAATTACCATAAAGCAAATTAATGTTAATAAATCGTTCAATCGTTCCTCTTTCTCAATATTTGATAAATTTTCTATGCTATTTGCAACTAAGATAGTTTCTCATCCCAATCGCTTAATATTAAACCAGGAAACGTATTGATATGTTGCGTGGACCTGAAGTAAATTAGGCGTTTATTATGATATCTTGTGAAGTGGTGTCTTCCTTGATCATCAAATAGAAACCATCTGGTTTTCACCGAGCCGTTTTTAACACAGATACAAACTTCTTTAGGTCAATTGAGAAAAGTTAAGTTGTGGCATGAAACAAATTAAATATTATCTTCAATGACTTAATTTCAATAAATTATGAAATCGATTTTTGATTTTGACTAAGGCCATTGTGTTCTCATCGGAGCTGGATGAATCACTTGCATAGCAAAAGAATTGGCTGTTAATGAGGCTGCAATTTAATACATATTAAAATAGAAAAACATGAAAATTTGCTCATTGAAACATATCCATAAGAAAACGATTTGCAATGAATAAGGTATTAGTAAGTTAATGACGACTCGATGGATGGTCGATAAAATATTATTTATTTAGAGTGTTATCAAACATCCGAGGTAAAATTTGGAGTTGGCATATTTCAGGAAAATGTATATCTTCTTAGGGTGAGATTTGAAAATCAAATATTTGTAACATCAACTATAATATTGTCTCCAGCATTATAGATATTTATTACAATGAGAATAACATACAAATGCAATGCGATAATATTTCCAGTTTAATTTATTCAATGAAATTAAAATGTATATATTAAATCATTTAGAAATATATGAAATAATTATCAATATTAACTTAATAAGTTCAGCGCAATATTAACTAAATATTTTTTTACTTTAAGAATAAACTTTTAAATTTAGTAACCAAACTAGTGTTATGTTTCGAAAATGACGACCCTGTCAGCGTTTGAATAAGTCAAAATCAAACGCAGTATTAGCTATAAATTTTGGGGGGCGTTTAAGGCCAGTGCAATATAAATATATAACGACAGCGGGTTCGAACTATTCTTCATTCGAGTGATCAATATGCCTTCCAGTTCTAGGTACGATCTATTTATTAGTCTAATCATACTTTAGTAAGGATTATTATGCATATGATATGGTTACAGATGCAATCGAATCTAAAAGAATTGTAATATTTACTAAGACTAACTGTCCCTATTGCAAAAAGGTCAATTCCTTATTTCGCAAGACATTAGATCGGAGGGATTACGATGATCATTATGAATTAATAGATATTTCTGGTAGTCATTATGAGAAAGAAGTAATGGACACTCTCGAAGCTATTACTGGAAGGCGAACAGTGAGTTATTCGTAGTTTCAAATTTCATGACGATTTTAACTAGGTTCCACGAGTTTTCATTGATGGAGAATGCATTGGTGGATACGATGATACCAGAAAATTGTATGACTCGGGAAGGCTTCAAAGGATGCTCTACAATTGAACATCCTCAGATGATTTCTACTGCGTTCTGATTTTAAAAAAATAGATTCTTTACGTCACATGGTTTTTGTCATTATATTTTGAACTATTTATGTGTGGCTTAACTTTGAGCATTTTATAATTCAATCACGTATACCTTAGTTAGCCTACGAAATTGTATGAATATATATATATATATATATAT